CACATATTTATTCACCATCGTTACAAAATTTACATCTAAATTATAGAATTAGCATTCATTGAAGTTCTCTGTGCTTTTGGTTATTCAATCGAGAGAAATGATCGATTAAGGTTAATCAATTGAGCAAGTTGATGATCTATTTGATAAGGGTCGATTGAGAGAGACGATCGATATAAGGTTAATTGATTTAGCGGTTGGGAAACATTGTTGCTAAGGGTCTAGAGAACAATAAGAGGTAAATAAGAGGTTGGTTAATCTCTTATCAGATAAGAGGACACTAAGACATAAGTAGTTCAGAAAGTTTGGAAAAACAACAAATAGTCTGAACAACTCTACCTCTTACCGAATAAGACATAAGGGGCTGATAAGAGCTTTAAAAAAAAACAAGGCCTAAATGTAGAACATGATTTATAGAACTTAAATTTATATAATATAAATGTGGAACGGTATAGAACATACCAGAGGAACATAAAATGTAATTTACTCTATATGTAGAACCGTCGTAAAAAAACAATTTATAGGACTTAAGTTTACAGAATCAAACCATAAACTGTTATATTTAAAAGTGTTACAATATGTTTATAAGACATTTTTAAGATGTTTTAACAAGTTTTTCATGACACTTTTAAAATAAAGTGTTGTATGAACTATTTTATAGAACATTATTTGATAGAATGTCATATACACACAAATGTCCTATAAAAATATATATCGTTTATGGTACATTTTTCAAAAGTGTCATATAAAATAGCTAATATGACACTTTATTCTAAAAACTATGTAAAAATACCTAAAAATCATATAAACATATTGCAACGTTTTATAGTTTGGTTCTGTAAACTTAATTCAATAAAATATTATATTATGACACTTAGATAATCTAGAGATCCTATGAAGCCATCGTTCTTTATGTCATTTCCTATTAGATTGGTGGGTTTGATCACGGGTTTCTTCGAAACTTTGGATGCCGCAAAACAAAGAAACCCATCATCAAAACCACCAATCTAAATGGAACGACATAAAGAACGACAACCAACGTTGAGCGAAACACGAGAAACATAGCCATGGCTCATGGATCACGCCATCTGATCGGATTTTGAATCCACTTCCTTTGAGTCGCCAAATAACCGTTTGGACCCTTGACCCGAAGCTTTTGAGCCGATCATATCTCATTCTTAATGCAACCCTGTGTTTAGAATTCGGAAAACCGTCAAACTCTTCATCAAGTTCATTGGGATCTGATTTATCACCATGAGACAATTAGATATCCATATGCGGTGGGTGTCGCCGTGTCGTGACCTTGATTGCTACTTCCAAATCCCAGTCAAAATAAAGTAAAACAACAACGTGTTCAAGATCATTTGCGGGTATTCGACAAGAACCATGAACAAAACGTGCATGAGAACTGTTAGCGACGGGCTAGTCCATGACACTACCTTAGTTCGAGACTTTATTTATTGTTTACCAACCAAGCTTTCATACTTAATACGATAATATCATCGATACCAATTTAACTGATATAAGTGATATATAACAGTTTAAAATTTAATTAAAGTTTAATGTGTAATTTTTTTATATTCCCCCATCATGTGATTTGCACCCTTGGAAATCGTGTGATTTCCTATTGAAAATATAAACAATTAAAGCTCACCTGAAATCAAAGCATACCACCAATCTTAATTATTTAAATATTTTTTAAAATATCAATTTGAAAGTGATTTTTTTATGAACATAATATAAATAAAATTTCAGTTAAATTTAAATTGTTTTTAATAATTGTAATGTTATATTCGAAACTATGCTAAACATATAGTGACTTCAAAAATGTAATTATTTTTTACAATAAGTAGTATTTCAAATTTCTTAGGAGGCGTTTGGTTCGCTGGAATCTGATGAAATTGGAATAGTCAATTCCGTTAACCAAATTTTATTCCAGCATTTTGGTTACTCATGGAATTGAATTGAATTCCAAAGATTTCATCATTTGAGGATTTCATCATTCATTCCTAAAACTGATGGAATTAAAATCCATTCCATCCAAAATTATGTGAATTACAAAAATACCCATGATTGCTTCCATTCTCTTGATTGCTTACTACCCAAATTTTGCTTCCATTCTAGAGATCGACGATGGAAAGTCCGATGAAATGGTGAGGAGAAAAAGGTTGGGGGAGGGGAGTTCGATGATGAAAAGTCAAAGTAGAAGACTGATGATGAAATCGAACCTTGAAATCAAAACCCCCAGAGAGATTGGGGGAGAAATCAATGCTTTGAAAACGAAACAGAAGCAGAAAGATTTTCATTTCAGAAATCGATCCTCTAAAAACGTCGGAATCAAAACCCTCCGAGATCGGTCGTTGTTCCTTTTCTCCAGTCGTTTGAAAACGAAGCAGAAGCAGTCACTGGTCGTTATTTTTCTTCCCGTCGAAATCGTAGGATTTTCATCTTATGGTTGGATCTCCATCCCTGTGGAGAAGCAGAAGCAGATCTTCATCCTTGTGCAAAAGCAGATATTCGTCCCTGTGCAGAAGTAGAAACAGATCTTTGCCCTTATGCTTCTTCCATGTGGTTCGATGGATCTCCCCTTGTAAGCAGATCTTCGTCCTTGTGCAAAAGCATATTTTCGATCGATCTCCCCTTGTGCCTCGTTTTTTTTATTCAAGTTTTATTTAGGTTTTTTTTTTATCATTTGGCGTTCATATGTTCATGAATCTGATTCTACAACCCACATAGGTGGCACAAAGAACAGATGTTTTTGTTCTTTTTTATCATTCCGTTCCAATTATGTTGCAAACCAAACAGATAGATTCCAATTCATTAGATAGATTACATTTCATCCATGCCAACCAAATACTTGGTCAAACCTGATAATATTTCATTACGATTCATTCCAGATTCCAGTTTCTTTGACAAATTCCATTTCTTCAAAAATCATTTTGCGAACCAAACGCCCCTTTACGTTATTTTAATATTATCAAAATGATATAATTTTAAAAAAATATGAATACTTGATTATTTAATAATGATTATTACATTATTGATTTGACTAAATGTTTTTTTATTATAAATACTTAATTGTTTATGTTTTATTCATATTGATGTTTGATTGTTATTTTGTATATATATAAGACAAAAAAATAAATGATTACCTACGGGTTAGAGATGTTTTCACTCAATACACATACATGTTTTCATTTTCTTCATCTCTTATCTCTTCACCTTTTTTTCTTCATATTACATATTATATAATTATTAGAAAATAACAGTAAAAAAACATCGATATAAAAAATTAATAAAAGAATTAAATATTTATTTACCTAAACATTTATTCTTTAAAGAAAATAAAGAGAAAATATTTTTATAATTTGGTTTGGATGTAAATAATGATTACAAAAGTAATAAAAAAGAAAAAGAGGAAAAAAAATTAATTAATAGATTATATTAACTAAATTGTAATACAAATATAATAAAAAAAAGATAACAGAAAGACAAAAATATAAAAAAAGATAAAAATAAATAAATAAATAATTGTAATAGGATTAGAATTGTAGTTAGCAAAGGTTAGATGTGTCAATAACCTCTCCCTTATCTATATGTTAACGATATTTCTTGTATCTATTATTCATCATAACTCAATGATTATATTATCATCGAACTTTATTTATATATATTTTTATTTTTTTATTAATAATACTTTTCTTTTATTAAATCAAACTATTATTATTATTAATAATGTTATTA